GGCCGCTAGGGGATCCGCCGTCGGGGGGCTCCGTCGGGGAAGCGGCGCAGGTGGAGGAGGATCAGATCGTGGCGGTGTTTGTGGTCACTTTCGACCCCCGCTCGGGTAAGCGCCGCCGGGGCTGCGGAGCGAGGGGTGGGGGTATTGGTGGTGGAGGAAGAAGAAGCCCGGTTTCTGCCCTTCTAAAATCCGGATCTGTTTGGGAGGGAGAGTTGCCTGCGAAGGGGGCTCCGTCGGGGAAGCGGCGCAGGTGGAGGAGGATCAGATCGTGGCGGTGTTTGTGGTCACTTTCGACCCCCGCTCGGGTAAGCGCCGCCGGGGCTGCGGAGCGAGGGGTGGGGGTATTGGTGGTGGAGGAAGAAGAAGCCCGGTTTCTGCCCTTCTAAAATCCGGATCTGTTTGGGAGGGAGAGTTGCCTGCGAAGTAGAACCTCTCTCTCCCCCCCTCCCGGTTGCTCAAGGTTTTAAGAAGGAGTAGGAATTTGGTGCGTGACTTGTTTGGGTGGATCGCTTTTCGTGGGAGTCCCTCTGGCCATGTGCAGAGTGCGTCCCTCCTCCCCCCCCTTCGCACGGAGGGGCGGCACTGGCGCTCCTCTGAGCGACGCGCGGCCCCGCTTTCTAGCTCGGACGAGGCTGCCCACCTGGCGCTTACCTTTTCTCCGGAAGGAGAACGAGCCGGGAGGGAGGATGATGCGCCAGGCTCTGTCTTTTGGAGTCCAGGTGTTGTCTCAAGGTAAACAGGAACTCCTCCGCCGAGGAGGAGAAAGGCTGGTACCTGTTGGTTTTTCCATTTCCTTCTGCTCTTTTTTTTTTTTAGCAGGTATGGTGGCGATGCAGAGCCGGGGCACCTTTTCCCCACATGCTGCCTGGGACTACAACACACATCATCCCTACCCAAACTTGGTTTTAATATCCGAATCCTATGTTCGCTGCAATCTTGGCTGCTTTTTCCTCTCAAGAAAAGCCTGGGAAAAGTTATTTTTCCAGCCTCCAACTCTTGGGATCTGCTAGTTCCTATGGTCCATGCTGGCTGGGAGTTTTTAGGACTTGTTTTTTTAAAAAAGTAACTCTTTCACACGCTTTCTGCAGGTAGACTATATGGGAAGATTTCTTTAAAACCGCCTTTCCCAACCTGACTCACTAGGTGTTGTTGGGCCACAACTCTGTGTATCCCAGTCCAGTTTTGCCAGGGGGTAGGGATGATGGAGGGGTTGTAAGTAGCCCAACCAAATCTTGGGATTCAAAGTCAGGAAAGACTTTTAGAAATGGTGGTCTGGTGGAGTAATTGAGATCTTCTCCATTTAGAGATGCCTCTACCACAGGAAGCTGGTTGAAGGTGGAAGGGCAGGACCACGGCCAAGAATGTCTCTTGCATACCATCCTAGAGATCTGTCATACCACATCTCTACATCCTCCTCCTTCAGAAAAATTTTGGGCCTTTAGATTTAATGGGAGCTTGTCTTCTCAGAGCTTGTTAGAACAGAAATGTAGGAAACTGCATCTTGAGGCATCTGGTCCAATTTTGTCAACTCTGACTGGCAGCCGCTGTCTTTCCTCCCCCTACTTGGAGGTCTCCTGTTTTTCTTTTTGTTATTCCATTCAAATATTAACCAGGTCAAACCCTACTTAGCTTCCAAAACCGGTCGTTCAGGATGGAACCGTAGTATGAAAAAAAGGGACCCTTATTCTGGATTGGACCCACCTCTCCCCTCAAATACCACGAGTGTTTCCTGGTGGCAAGGTGAAGGCATTTTGTTGCCACAGATGTTGGTGGTCCTTCCTGCACCTATTCATTTGTGTGTGCCTGGGTGCAAAAACATAGGGAAAAAAATAGAAATAATATATCTCATTGTGAGCTTTTGAAGAGTACATTCCATGTCTTCAGACACTGCTCCCGCTAAACTAATGCGTTGGTCCCCAAGATGTGCCAAGGCTTTTCTTTCTGTTTTTTGTTTGTTTTTTGCTGAAACAGACTGACACAGCTGCCTCTCAGTAATGTACCCATGGTAGCAGGGGCCTGTGCAGTTCTGTGGGGAATTGTCTAGTGAAAGCCAAGCTCTCTTGAAATGAATGGGTGTTCATTATCTCAAGACATTTCTTGTATTAATTATATTTATGTCCTCCAGTGAGTTCAAGGCAGCATGTCCCTGAATTTGTTGTCACAACAGTCCTGTGAGGTAGTCATACTGGGAGAGCGTGGTGGTCAAGGTCACCCAGGGAGCATTGTGGTGCTATGGAGATGGGATATATACCTGGAATTCTCTACTGTAGTTCCCACCTAGTATGAACCACTATAGCGCATATTGGCTCTTCCTCCCCGCCCCCGCCCCTTTGCCTCATAAATCTGCCTGTATTTCAGAGATTTTAATATAAATATTTCATTGGATAACATGTCCCAGAATCACAGTAATCCCGTTAGTTAGCTTTGTGCCATCAAGTCAGAACCAATTTACAGCTACTTTAATAAGACTCCCAAGGTAACTGAGATATGTGAGTATTGGTTTTATCAGTTCTACTGATCAGTGAGTTTCCTGAACCCTGGTCTCCAGAGTCCTAGTTTTTTACTCTATATCCACTACAGCACACTTGGTACCCTATTAATCCTGTTGTTGTTGTTATGTGCCGATGTATGGCAACTCTATGAATTAACAATCTCCAAAATGTCCTGTCCTCTACTACAGCCGTGCTCAGCTCTTGTAGATTCAAGCCTGTGGTTTCTTTAGGGAATTGGTCCATCTTATATTTGGTCTTCCTCTTTTCCTGCTGCCTTCCACCTTTCCCAGCATTTCCCAGTAATCCTGTGGCACTAAAAAAAATTATTATTGCTTACTGCTATAGCAAGAACATTTTCCTCATACTAGTAGTAGGATCTTTTCCCCACAGACTGCAGCAAGTTTGGGTGATAGAGTGGCATAACAATGTGTTTCTTCCAAAGTGGAAGTGAAATAGTTGAAATTCGAGGCCAAACATTGCACGTGTGAAGAGCCTTTCCATTTCCTGAGGAAAATATATTGTCTCTTCTCATTCCTTGAACTTTGCCCACTGACATAAGCAGTACTGTAAACACCCTGGAGTGAGATGGGATGTGTATGTGAACTGAAATATTGATACCCTTCTCTCGCTCCCTACCATCCAAGCTTTAGTAACTTGAGGTAGAATTTGTGTACAAAAATGGGCCTTTATTTCCACCCAGTAAACAGCAGAGCATTGAGTCACTTGATGGTTAGTAAATTTAGGAGAGGCAGAAGGACACAATGGTTGAATAACAATGATGTGCTTTCGAGCTGATTCTAATTTGTGATAACCTTCTCAGAGTTGTAAAGTACTTAGAAATAGTTTAGCATTCTGGGTTTGTACAGCTTGCCCAAAGCTTCACTAGTGACAGGACATTCAACCCCGTCAGCCACACATGTTCAGGATAAGCTCAGCAGGCCCCTCCTAGCCATGGGGATTCAAAGCCCCTAGTTCTGCTATCAGGTAACACAACGTACTGAGTTATACCAGTACTTAACTCCATATGAATATTCATTAATTTGAAGTAACCTTCCCTAGCCTAGAGGTGTCTAGACTTTTCAGATGACAACACCCAAACTCTGCCTGAGGGATTCTGGGAGTTGTAGTCGAACACCTCTGAAAGGCTCCGGCTTGAGGCAAGCTCACTTCCATCATTTATTGCTAGCAGGTACGGTGGCCATTGTATGGGTTGCACCCACCAGGAATATGGGAAGGAGCAGTTTCTCTTCAACAAGGAGCATTATTAAATTTATTTCAATTAGAGGTTAGTGCCATCAAATGGCTCCTGAACTCTGTCTACCTTACATCTCATTTTCTTTTAACTCTTAATTATATAAGGATTGATTGTTGTGGTTACTTGGTTGGAAAACATGTTGCACATGCTTAGATTTTATTTATACTGTATGTTACTACTCCTGCACTTGTCCCTGAAATAAGATTTTATATTGAAAACAGGATGAAAGCCAGGATGGTGCATTGTAGTGGTTTCCAACCTTGGGTCCCACGTGTTCTTGGACTGCAACTCCCAGAAATCCTGGCCAGTATAGCTAGTGGTGAAGGCTTCTGGGTATTTTAGGCCAAGAACAACTGGGGACCCAAAGATTGAGAACCACTGGTGTCGTAGATATAGTGTTGGGCAGACTTGGAAGATATGGGTTCTGATCCTTGCTCAGCCATATTGTGGAAGACCACTCCTTGAACGTTTCATATACCTCAAAAACCTTCTTAGGGTTACCATAAGTCAGAACTGACTTAACACATAGCAGCAGCAACAACTGAAAATAAGCCCAGAGTTGAGATTAAGTCAAGATTTATTTATTTATTTGCCAAGGGTGATCAGAGCAGAGTATAGTATGGAAAAGGAACTTCTGGCCACAAATTTTCAAACTAAAATTCAAACAACAATCCCTTACTATTAAAAATTTCTCACTCCTCAAGCAGAAGCATCATTGCAACATTTTTAGTGATGTGTCTCGAACCAGTGTTGGTTAATCTGTGGTACATTTAATACTTCCTTTTCCTTGTGTTGCTTCTTTGACTCTTTGCCCACCATCCTGTTGCACCAGCAGGTTGCAACAGAGCTGTGCTCCCATTTGCAAAGAAGTCACTTTGGCAATACACGCAGCATAGTATGGTTTCATCAGTTTGAAATGAACATCTTACTCAAATGAGGTGCTTATTCTAAAGGCGTAATCTTACGTAGCTTTACATGGAAATCCATTCTGTTGAACCTCTTGTAGACATGCAACAGAGTGGACAGCTGCATAGCATTCGTACATCCTTACCTTGAAGAAATTAAGAGCAGTCATTTGTTTTCTTGTTAGGCCTGATTTTTGCATTTATAGATCATCCTCTCAGAAACAAATTCTTCCAATATGTGACTCTGCAAATAGGTGTTGGACCGCAAATCCCATCCCTCCTAGCCAGAATAGCTGACGGTAAGGATCAGAGTTGTAATCCAGCAACCTCTGTAGGACCCTATGCTCCTCAACTCTGCCCACCACCTTTTGTGCATATTTGTACATTTTTTGTAGTCATTTAAGTCCACCTAGTTTGGGAGGCTGTTGAGGAGGCCTTTTGCTTCCTGAAGCT